CCGCCCCCCGGGCATGGAGAGCAGGGGGAAAAAGCCCGCTTCAGAGGCTGAGAACTGAAGAAAAGAATTCCTATGGAAGGAAATATTTTCATACTCTGCCCATTTGCTTCTTGCCTGCCCTGACACTGCATGTGTTTCCAATCTTCAGCAAACTTGAGTGGTGCATGTGGCAGTGTCTCAGACTGGCCTCCCAGACCATCCCCCTACCCCAGCTCCCTTCCTACACTCCAACAGATGGAGGTTGTGTTACTGTGAACATGGAAAACAGATCCCTACACACACCAACACAGAGCGCTATCAGCATATATGGTATTATAAGTTATATTAATATCTGTATGTTCACATGAATATGAGGGTGATGGGTTAGGTATTTGTGTAGGGTCCTTCACTGTCCCCATGGAGAACCTCAAGATGTTCCTTTCTCAGAAAGCTTCTGCTTGGTTATATTACATTGTTCTGGGGCTGGCTTGGGGGTGTTCAGGATGGAGTTGGGTCATTCTTGTCTCCCCACATTTCCTGGAGAAGGTCTATTCATGCTGCCCTGCAAGCTGTGAGTACTCAAGCTTGAATGGAAAATGCCTTCTTCTTTTGTCCCTTCTCTCTGGAAACCTGAAAAGGCTTAACATATACTAATGATTATCCTCAGCAAACCTGCCATTTCTTAAGTCACTGTACTGCAGATAGGGAATCTGAGGCTTTGACAGAAACAGCTTGTCCCAGGAGACCCTGGATCAGAGCTGGAGACAGAATTCACCACTGTCTCCCCATCTTGGCCTGTCACCAAGAGCAGCCTTCATCACCAATTTTTGTCAAATGATCAGAATCTCTTGGGTCCACAAATCTGAGACCTATTCCTGTAAACACAATGATATATAAACTGTGATTTCCAAGTAGGCCTAAGGGAGTTAGCCACCCAAATCCTCGCCTTGGGTTGTACTTTCAGTAAAAGTACTTGTGGTAAATCTACGTCTGGTAACAAGTATATTCAGGATAAGGCACATTCCCTACAGTTTCCTGCTTGATTTCAGGCAGCCCGCCCCAACAAGATGACATTCCTTTCTCTAATAAAGCCCTTTGGTTTAAAGCATTGGTTTTTGAAAGCACTTTGGCCATATTAGAAATCTTCCCAAATTTGTGAGCAACTTGGTGTTGAAGGTTTGGGTCACTTCTGAGCTGGTCAGGAAGTGTGATCTCATGAAAAAACTTCTATGAAGATTAAAAGAAAGAAAAGTTCTCATTTTCTTTGAGACTCCTCTTCTAAAGTTTTCAG